CCTTAGGGTGCCCCTACAAAAAAAATGGGTATTCGCCACGGGCGGGTGGGTGTTCTACATAAACGCGACCCGGGGCGTAAACGCAAAAAAAAAAAAAAAAAAAAAAAAAAAAAAAAAAAAAAAGAAGGCGCTCGCTCGCTTTCTTCTTTTTCAGCCCAAAATCCTTCCCCTCTTTCTTCCCTCCTCGCCTCCCACGTAATCATCGCCGGTGAGTCTACCCTTCTCGCTCCCACTCTCTCTCTTCCCTTTCCCCTCCACCTTCTTATCTTCCCCTTCATTTCGATTCCTGTATCTTCCTTTCTTGTACGTATGGTTGCCTTTGGGCCCCCTTCTTGTATACCTCTCTCCCTTGTCACTATTTCCCCTCCCTGCGACTCCCGAATCTGACCGACTAACGAGGGATTGTGCCGTGCAGATTCCCCCCTTCAGATTCGATACCCGCTCTTTCTCCCCCTCTTTCTCAACTGAGTGGACGATTCCTCTCATTTCACATCCTACAAAATGGCTCTCAAGAGAATCAACAAGGAACTCGCTGATCTAGGCCGGTAAGTCGTGCGTGCAACGGAAAGGGGAAGGCTGGCATGTCCTCACCGTCTGGCGGTATCACCCCACCACGACCGCGGGGCCTCAAGTCGCCTGCCCCTTCCGCCCTGTCTATCTCGTTGGTGTTCAATAGCGACTAACATTTTCTTCGCAGTGATCCCCCCTCCTCCTGCTCTGCTGGTCCCGCAGGAGAGGATCTGGTACGAATATCCCCTGCCCTGTTGTCTTGCCGTCCTTGTCTCGTGCCGTTTGCGGCGGGCGCCTCGATTCATGGTTCTTTCGAAATCCGCCATCGCAACTTGACTCCAAACACCAGTGCTGACATGTGATCCCGTTTATAGTTTCACTGGCAAGCGACGATAATGGGTCCTGTGAGTGTTTCAACCTTCAACCTCTCTTTGTCTGACAGCCGCTGTCGGGTGGGGTCTTTGTGCCTTCCCGGGCGCCAGATCCCGACCGGCATCGCACGTCGGGTCTCGGGCTACAATCAAGTATCTTCATTTGAACCGCACTAATGCAACTCAGGGTGACTCCCCATACTCCGGAGGTGTCTTTTTCCTATCGATCCACTTCCCTACCGACTACCCCTTCAAGCCCCCCAAGGTCAACTTCACCACTCGCATCTACCACCCCAACATCAACTCGAACGGCAGCATCTGCCTGGACATCCTCAGAGACCAATGGAGCCCTGCTCTCACGATCTCTAAAGGTTCGCTTTTCTTTCTTCGGTCTAGAGTCAAGCACAACTAACATCTGCCAGTGCTGCTGTCGATCTGCTCGATGCTTACGGACCCCAACCCCGATGACCCGTTGGTGCCCGAGATCGCGCACGTCTACAAGACCGACCGCCCTCGGTATGAAGCCACCGCCCGCGAATGGACCCGCAAATACGCTATTTGATCTTCGCTCTTCAACCTTCCACGGCCACCCCTTGGTCTTCCCAATCGCTTCTGCCTCTTCTTTCGTGTGCCGTTAGATCAGATCCGAAGCCTGGCGTACCGTGATCGTAGATCCGTTTCACTTTTCGTGTTTTCACCATGAACCTATTTGCGCGTTGTCTTGAAATTTAACTACCTTTTTATTTTCCGTTACCCTTTTTTCATTCTCCTATCGGCAGGAGATGTCATATCCAACGATCATTATGACCAACATGCATTGATGGCATTTTCTTTTTTTCCACACGACGGAGTCGGACAAATTACGTGATGAATACACAAACCCAAGGATGGGCGTTTCTTTTCTTTGGGTCGGGGTTTGGGGCGGAGGAATGGAGGATGCTGGTGCGGTCGTTGAGGCTTGCCGGAATTGGGGATGCGGATGAGGGAACTGGCGGGGATGAACGGTGTTTGTATCAGATAGCTCGTATTGGCAAGACCGAATCAACATTGACCGGTAATTTGATTGAACTTGTAATTAAAATGTCGGGTTCAGGAGTGTGGAAGTCCGGGAAGATCCAAAGTAACGCAGTTTGAGCAACGAGTAGATACAGAGAACTTGAATAACTATAAGCCGGAGTATTCCAAAGATGTTCACACAAGAGAAGGACTCGAGTTGATTTATCTATATCAACCCAGTAAGACAACCCACCAGAAAAAAAGGGAGCGGTGGTATATCCATCGCCTTCACTTCATCTATGGAAAAGCATTCTCGACTAAATTCTCTCAGTATTGATATGAAAGTTAGAGATAAAGCGAAGTCTAATAGAACATAATCTCGTAAAAGTAGGACGTACCTATCTACCTATCTATTTATCTATTTGTCTATGAGATGGGACTCCCTATTTTGCTTGCATTAAAGAATGAGCTCATAAATTGCTCTTTTATGTACCTATGCAATCCGACTAGTAGGATAAAGTACCATGACGGATAGGTCCGTTTCCCGAGAAGAAATGGCCAATATATACATTCAGTAAGCTATATGCATCTCTTCCATAGAAGATATACCCACAGCAAAGGGAAAGAAAAAGAAAAAGCAGATCACAAATCCACCTTAACAAGAGAAACACACCCACCACCAATACTACTACCCATAATCACCCCTGTCCCCTCTAAACAATTCACATACTCAAACTGCGCTTCCCCGCGCCCTAACACCGACACTTCATGCCACGTGCGAAACTGCCGTTCTGCACCAAACGTCTTCGCATGACGGATCGCCCCCGTGTAGATGGCTAGATGCGATGGATGCCGTTTCGCCCACGTCTCGAGGTCGGAGAGATTGCGGAAGAAGCCGATGACACAGGATTCGTCGCTTTGGGTTATAGAACCCTCAGATGAAGAGGGAGAGGATGAAGATTCGTCGGAGTCAATGCTAGATCTCTGGGCTGCAGGAGATGGAGGAGAATGAGAATGAGAAGGGGCGGGAACATTCATAAGATACCGTAGCGCCATCGACCCCGTCGAGATCGGGTTCTGCCATAGATAAGCAAGGCCTTTTCGAAGGGTCGGTTCGAGGTTTTCCTCGTAGGATCGTCGCTCGTCGTCGGGACAGTGTTTCCAGAATTGGCCGGACCGGATATGTGCGAGATTATGGGTTTTGTTGGTGCCGATGAGTCGTTTTCCTAACGAGGATGGGGGAGATGTTGTGGGGTGGATGTCATGATTCTGATTCTCATCCTGGTCTTGATGTTGATCTTGGTGTTGTGGTTGATCTTGATCCTGCTCTGGTTCAAACGCATCATTTGCAGAATCAGGGATCCGGTCTCTCGCCGCCCCCCAGTATCCCGTATACGAATGTCCTTGAGTTCCCATGTCCGGCAGCCTCGCCAGACCGGGCAGATAGTCGGTTCCGGTGTAGTTGGTCTCTAGACGCGAGACGTGGCTCGTGAATCGCTCACACCAGAGACCGATCGTTTGCTGTTGGTCCGGTAGATCGATGGCTCGGTATATGCCAGCTAGATCCAGCTGGTGAATGGCATCATCGTACTTCATCCTGTCGGCCCAGTAGCACACGAACACGCGAGATTGCGGGGCATCGTGGCCGTCGAGGACTCGGAATCGTTCCACGGAAGCAGGTGCATGATTGGGTTTAGAGATCCAGTGTTCTATGGACGCGAGACATTTCTCAAATGCAGCAGCGTTGTGGCCTTGGTTGTGTTGTTGGATGCCGACATAGGCTGTGAATACTTGGTCTATAGTGTCTAGGAAACAGGCCCTCCAGCGAGGAATGGGAGGCTTATGGCCGTCGGGGCGTCGGAGGGGATATTTGCGGACAGGACATTCCATGTTTGCTTGAAGACTGCCACCAGGGGTTTTGTTCAATAGGCTGGTTCAGGAAGTGATGCTGGAGTAACAACCTTGAGCGGGGGGGAGGGATATGGGGAAGGATTAGGGCAGGGTCAGGTGATGCGGAGAAAGTGGACAATCAGGATGCTTGTTTCGGACATAGATGAAGAGCCGGGGATCGTGGTCCTATAGACCGTAGTCGAATGGAACCTCGGGAATTGCGGGAATTGCGGAGGAGGATGACTATATGCCAAGGAGTATAAACTATAAAGTGTCATGGAAGAGGGTCCAAGGGCACGCCGGTATATCTAACATCGAATGGATGGAATTGTATGAAGAAGGAATATCAGGAACATTCCAAATGCTTTGATTGACCGCGATTAGGAAAAAGATGAAGTAACCACTCTATGCAAAACAGAATAATATAATATTATATTGCCAACAAACAAATAATTCTCAAACAAGATCCAAATTCCCAAACGCCGTAATGCCCCTTGAATGCGGAAGATCATGCTACATGCAGGTCATGTTGACTGTTGTATGTCTCTCTCTGTGTGCTGGTTGACCGGAGTTGATATGCAATAATAGAAAAGACAAAACGTGTGAATGTGTGAAACTGTGAGACCGTGAAACCAGTAGATGAAAACGAATTAAGACCTCTAGGCCACCTGGCTTCCCCGACGGCTGGGACTGATCTTCGACCCGGCCTTGGAACCTCCCGCTATGCTGCCACCGCCAGCCTTGATGGTTCGCTGCGAAGCCTTGGAGGCTTGGCTAGGGGCATGGCTGGAGACCTGGCTGACGCTGTCGCTGGGTCGGACGGGTTCGTCGAATTTGCTCGAGTGCTTGGAGGCGGCGCGGGAGGCCGGTTTGGAGGCGTGGGATCGATGGGAGGCGTGCGAGTAGGAGGATCGTCGCTCCGAGTTGTCCACCTGGCTGATGGAATCGTCGGGGGTGACCTGAGTGTTCACGTCGCAGCCGTCGATGACGCTGCCGGGAAGGGGGACATCGCGGGCCGCCGACGCCTTCGACTTGGCATCGCTGCGGTAAGACGCAACGGAGCCCTCGGGAGCATGACGGGCGCTGCGGACGGACGGGGCGGCGCTGCCAGAGTGCGATCTCGTCACCGAGTGGCGGGAGGAATGGTGTGACGACCGGCTAGTGCTGTGGTGGGAGGAGTGGTGGTCCTGATAGTTGGCCTTGGATGGCTTGATGGTGGACGACGAGTACACGCTGCCGTTGTCCATCGCCCGCGAGCGATCGGGGAAGCTGCTGATGAAAGTGCTGGCATAGCCGCGCGAATCAAGCGGGGGCGGATACTCAATCGCCCGCAGAGGCACTTCTTTCGAGGCCGAGGTGTAGACGCTTCCATCCGAGGCTCGACGGCCGGTCTCGTCCATGTAGACACTGCCGCTTCCGACACCGCCGCGGGGAACGTACTCCGTACCCTCGTAGATGGTGCTAGCACGGGGGTTCTTCGAGGTGACGCTGCGAGTCAGCGAAGGGCGGAACTCGGATTGAGAGTAGGTGCTTCTGGCAGGAGGAGCTTCGATGGCCCTAAAACCCTGGGGTTCCTGCGCCTGCGACGAGGCCTGCGAAGGGGCGAGAAGCTGCGCGATGTCGCGAGGCGAGTACTGAGGCGGCGGCGACATCTCGGACGACTCGGAGTCGCCCTTGGAGGTCATAGCATAGGCCAGGGCTGCACCCGCGGCGGCTCCGATCAGGGTGCCGACGATGGTCTTCGAGACCTTGCCGTCATCGGTCTTCTGGGTGGTGTGGTGAACAACGTACGTCGGCGACGGAGCCTGTTGGACCTCTCGCGGGGAAGACGAGGGCGCGCCTCGTTCGGAGGGGGGAGATCGGTCGACGGCGCTCATTCCTCTCGACACATTAGACCGGGCCTCGGACTTCGGCGGCGCAACGCTTTGCGGCTTGACTGAGCTGGCCTTGCTGGTGGCCTTGGAGACAACGGATCCGTTTTCGAGCATAGCCAGAGCCGGTCTGCTGACTTCCGATCTGGCCGATGAGCTGCTGGGTCGGAAGACTGCCTCGATGCTGTTGCCGTCGAAATCGATAATCGCTGCGCTGTAGTAACCCGAATCCGAATCCCGGGTTTTGGGCTCGCCGTGGATCTTTCCACCAGCCTTCAAGGCGGAGATGAAGAATGCGCCCACTGCATCCCTGGAAGGAGCAGGGAAGGCAACGTGTGCGGCACCAGCTGGAACTCTGTAGTAGAGTTAGTCCGTTTGTTCATTGGGAACTTCACGATCCCCGTGGGGATTACGAGAGATGGCCTACCCAGGCTTTTGTTCTGTTATCCAGAAGTCGGCCGGCTCACCGGCGTTTTGTCCAAAGCCAATATAGTCATCATGACGGCCGATGAACTGATAGCCCAAGGGCTGTAGGCAGGAGAGGAAGAATGACGTCGAGGTGGGGAGGTGCGAGACCGTCAGGGTCAAATGAGAGACAGGCATGTCTGTAGCGATGTGCAAATTGACTCGCTGGGTACAGCGAGTCTATGAAAAGGTAGCAAGCCCAGGACTGAAGACGTGGTACGATGCAAAGTGGAAGAATATGGCCTGTTCAACGGATGTTCACAGGCAAGAGCACGACACAACTTGAGAGGTCGATGGCAGGTTTGCTCAAAGGGAAAAGAAGTAATGGGAGGGGTGGGAGAGGATGTAGAAGAAAGAACACACGAATGATAGAGTGACAGCAGTTTGATGAGTTGACAGAGAGAGAAGATGTGAGAAACCAGGAGGGAGGATATATACTTGATATTTCCAGACCAAGCTCCTAAAGGGGGTTAAACTACTCTTCCCAAGAATGCCCAACTTTGTATCCAATCACAGGTTGTTAGACGCTAACCAAATAATTCTAATTCTAATAAACAAAAAAGGGTTTATGCCGAAAGAAGCCATCTGCTCCAATGATGTAGAGTACGGCTTAGCACCGCAGGTATGATTGCATAGACCCGCGAAGCGTCCGAAATGCTACCCAGTCTCCATGCGGCAGTCTAGCGACCGAATCCGCGCTCTGCAGGCTTGGACCGGAAGGGAAGTGTTCCTAGTTCCTACCTATCGGTGAAGCCAGGGGCAATGAGGAGGAGAGAGAAAGCTCGTCCCTAGTCCCTAAACGCCAGGTCATCGTGGGGGAGGCCCGACGGACGGTCCTGTAGGTGGCCCTGTCTACATCGGATGGGGCGCCTATCAGAAAACGGTGGATCCTGCACCAGAGGAGCCAAGCGCAAACCGCATCATGTCAGAAGTCGGAAGAGGTGAGGCGACAAAGCCCAAGTGTAAGTGGGAGATGGTGATTGGCAGCAGTGGAGACCGGATGGACAAAGAGGGAAAAAAGAAGGAAAAGTTGAAACTCCTTATGGAGTGGAATCCGCGGTCAACAGATCATATTATTAGAAACTGTCCTTCTTTAGTTGATTTTAGTGTTTTTTCTGTGTTATTCTTCGCAAAGCAAAGACCACCGTAATTCGGGTTGGGCTTGGGAGTTGGAAGCCAGTGCGCTCTTCTCATTTGCAGGCTAGTCACCAAAATCACCAATGACGGTAGGACAACGAAGGGCCAGACGGCGATGTCAAGTGCACCATCTCAGGAGCCACTGAGGGGCAGGTTTGGGAGTCTTCTTTCCCTTTCGCTGGCTGCACCTCTGGCTGATGGTACGTTTCATTGCTAGTTTGGGCACTGCTGCTGCTGTTAGTCGCCGAGTAGTGTTATCTGACCGCCAACCGACGTCCACTCCGTCTCTGCGTCGTGGATCAAACGCCAGCGAGTTTGGACGAATGAGGCACCGCGACGGAAGAAGTCATCCTTTTCCCGGAATAATATCGTAGAAAGAAGGCGGAAAAAAGACGAAAAAAAGGCTGCATGTTCACCAGGCCTTGCTTCGTTAGAGAGAACAATGGGCCCATGCTGATCTCATTGGAACATTGTCCTTCTAGCATCATCTAGAAGATTATCATATGCGCTCAGTACTCCGGAGCACTACCCCGGTGATTCGATTAGATTAATTTTCGCTTGTCAGTGACCGAAGCTTCCATCACCGAATCTTGATCCAGTTGACCAACGGCACAAAGTGAAGCGGAGATCCACTCTGGGAGAGGTCCTGGGATATCTGCATGCCACGTTGAATAGGGGCGACTCCATCCCCAGCCACCGGAACCACCCGATCGTAGGAAGATGTCTTTCTCCATGCTCATTGACAGGATGGATGGGATGGGTTGAGAATCTACCCGGACGAGAGAGGTTTCCTGTGAGTCAGTTGTCAGGAGACACGAAGGGGGGTGAGAAAAAGGGGGAGTAAGTTGGATGAGGGAAGATGATGGAAGACGATGCAAGATCGGCCTGAATGACGATGAATGCCTTGGGACATCCATCATCGGCCTCAGGCAGCGGCCCCCTCTTCTCTCCACCTGAGATCATTCCGACTCTTTCTCTTTCTCCCGTCCACCTTTCCTTCGATCATCCCTTACTCTGTTCTACGGAGTGCACACCAAGTATATCTAGGGTTTAGGCCTGTTTTGGGCCAGATTGCTGCGGAGGACCGTGGCATAATGATATCATACAACACCGGAAGCTAAGCAGATTGTTTCGAGGACTCTTGGTCCCCCCTCCATCATTGATCCGTTTTCTTTCAACATTTGATGTATACCTATATACCTCTCTCTATTGGAATAAATCGACATGGTCTCGTGATGAGCATGATTGCAAGGTATGAACAAAAAGGCCTGAGAGCTGTGCAACGCCCCCTTGCCCCTGCTATAGATTGAACGAGACGGGGATCGTGGAAGAAAGCAGAACCTTGGCTGGAGGGTTGGACCCGGCAAATGCTTTTATAGGAATAAAAGGGCAAAGGGAGCTTAGACCACCGCCGTACTGCGTGGGGTCAAGCATCGACCTGTTGCCTGCCAGAGGATGCTGGAATGTCCAAATTCACCAACAAAGGCCTGGATTTGGTGATCATGGGCTCTAGGGGGCACGCAGCTCTCAGGACCACCAAAAACGCACAAGGAACGAGAAACGCAAGAAAGAAACCAAAGTTCCGAAATGCATAGGAGATTTGTAGGCAGCGTGCTTCCCACACCTCGTTGGCGCTCTCCATCGGATGAATCATTGCAAGGAAAAGTCGTTACCTCGTCAAACTTAGGTTGCGTCTCTCGAGTAAGATAGAACCGATAGCGCCTGGAGATCAGACGATGTCCCACACTTCCTCGGCGGCGTGGCAGAACTTGCTACAGGCCACACTGGCACTCAGACTATAGTTACTGATACTGATGGTGTCGTCCTTGAAGGAGTCGGCAAAGTCATCGTGGCCCTTGGCCATGGCTCCGACAAAGATACAGCAGCTCTCCTTGGGGCCCAGCGATTCGATATAGTCCCGAGTGCGCACCACGGGGGCTTCGTAACTGAGGGTGACCTTGCGGCAGTTCGGGGGCAGGTGGTCGGTGATAGGGTTCTTGATCACCTTGAGCAGCTTCTCTTGCGAGTTGGTGGAGCGAATCGAGAGTCGGTGCAGCAATTGGACCATCAAACCGGCAAATCGCTTGAAAGTACGAGGAATGCGAACGCTAGGGTTCACTTCGATCAGGACACCCTTAGCGGTGTGAATGTAGATCTGAAGTTTACCGGCCTTGTTGACGGGCGAGTCGAGGAGGGTGAGGAGACACTAGCGGCGGTGATTAGCATTCGGACAAGACCCTAACTCGGACATGGGGAGGGGCGAAGGACCGTACCTGATGGGTAATATCCGGTCGAGCCTCGCTAATGTCTCTGTTCATCTTGCGCATCACACCGATATGCTCGTCGCTGTTGAGCAAGGAGTATTTTTCATCACGGTTGGTGCCGCTGCGTCCGCCATGAGAGGCGCGGAAAGTTTCCAAGCTTGCATGAGACAGGACGACGATCAAACGCTGGGTCTCCTTATCGTGAGCGGAGATGGGGACATGTTGCTCAGCGACAAGCTGAGGCAGTTCGGGAGGAGGGCAGGACTGGGTCCCTGAGGGTCGAGTTTCGTTAGCATCCATGGGGCGTTTCAAAAAAATCAAAGCTTCACCAAGCTCGAGGTATTTGCGCGGTGATGCAGCGAATTTTTTGACGATCGCGAGGGGAGATCCAAGAAGAGAGAATTGAATCTAATTGATGGAAAGGCGGGGGAGGGAAAATGGTCCAGCCAGCGGGATGTGGCACAGACGGACTGTTCCTTGGGACACCCCCATGCAAACGATGCGAAGATTCCGTCGTACCGTGCCTAACCATCGAGGACGAACTGGAGGCCCGAAAAGACCCAATGCCGTGATGGATAAGGGAACAGAGCAGGGCAAATGTGATAGATAGATCTCTTTCGCAGCTTGCAAGCCAATCAGTGATAGAGTTGGTTTACTTACTGGCACGCTTTCTCTTTCCTGCTACTTGAACAGAATCCGACATATTGAACCGATGAACCAATTGAAGACTTTTTATAGAAAAAGAAGGGTATTATATGTAATTCGAGACTCGGGACCGATAAGAGGAATCGAGAGGAATAGATGAGATGGACGTCGGACGATTAAGAAGAGCGACAAACGGTAATAAAGGAAGATCCGGAGAGGCGCAGAGAGGAAGGAAGCGGCTGCAGGATAAGCTGACAGTCGCAGGATGAGGGGATTTCAGGTGGGGATGTTTCTGCTTCGTGTGCTTTTAAACCCCGGCAACTTTGAGTTTTGTTTGAAATGAGACCCTCTCTCTCTCTTTCGCTATCCCGTTCAGGCGCAGTGCAGAAGGAGAGAAATGTTGGGGGACTGAACGATTTGAAGGTTGAGTCGATGCGCAGAAAACGGCAAGGAGGAAGGGAAAAAAAAAAAAAAAAAAAAAAAAAGATCGCCGAGCGACTTTTTCCGCCCGCAAAATCAATGAAATCCAAATCCTTCCCCGTTCCTTCTTCTTTCAGTCTTTCAACGAAAAGTCTCCGATCGGCGGCGACTTCCTCAATTCAACTCCGTCTACTCCGTACTTCCCATCTCTCTCCTTCTCCCCCGCCTCCATCTTCTCCCTACGCTCTTGCCCAGCACCTGTCCGCTTAGGCGCATTCGTGATTCCACCATCCCACTTCACACCCTCCCGTCCCAAATCCTACTTTATCTATGCATCCTAGGACCGTTATGATTGATAGAATCAAGTCCGACCACTCATTTCCCAGATGAATATCCTGTTTTTCGTTTTTTCGCGCCCTGCCGGATGAAATCGTGGTTTTCCATTTCCATTTCCGGTGACTCACTTCACTGTGACTCCGGCTGCTCTCTCGCCCGTACAACACTCCCTCCGTTCCCTATGAAACCATGGAAGGCACACGGAGTAACTCAACTCATATTGTTCAGTCCCTCGGAGCTTCTATTCCGATTGTCATCCCCGAATCAAATCCTACTTGGTCTACTCCGTATGTATGAGGGGATCCGGAAAGGTTCGCAGAGCTGGAAATTAAACAACCTCCGTTGGAAGCCACAACCCAGCATCATAACTATCGAACGGTGAGGGGCGCAAGACAATAAGAAAGAGCCCAAGTAGTGCTTAAACTCTTTGGATCAATCAATGCATTACCTCGTATTCGCCCTTGCAGTTGCGATCGGGATGTATCCAGCCGTATTCCTCCTACCGGCAGAGATGGTACTCTAACGTGCATGAACAACTGACCAGCTGCGTCTGTAGGTCTGGCTTGGATTAGACGTTTTCTAGTGGTGGGGAGAGGTACTCAGTTCTGTAGGTGTGGTGCTAGGTTTCTTATCAAGACAGACAGACAGACAGACAGACAGACAGACAGATAGACCACCGGGGGGATGTGCCTGTCTGCTTGAATTCTTTCGTCCGGTGATACTTAAAACTTGACTAGTCAACTGCCTACGGTGTGCAGATGCCTCGGGCACTACGCAAGGGACGCGGAGTTGAGGACCGTCCCGCACTTGTCATTCAAGATATCCAGTGTTGGTATCTCCGAGGAAGATCTCTGGATCCCTTGCCAGAAGGCTCCTGCTGGCTGGTGTGGTAACCAAGCAGGTCGGAAAGGGCGTACATGAAACACTTCGGAGGCTGTTCGGAGTGTGCGTAGAGAGGCCTACTCATGGGCTGCAGCCAGCCACGCGTTCGTGCCAATGAACTGGCTGGCTCGCGATGGGCGAGCTTAAAGGCTAGGTCTCATGGCGATAGACCTTAGTCCCTTAATCTAGTGGAACTAGATGCAGTGACGCGCAGTAATTACGTACGTTCAATGGACTAACCAAGGAGTGCCATTTCTAGAATTGAATTTGATTGAATTGAAACCTGTAAAAAGTATCAAGGACTGTTCGTAGCCCTATATACCTAGTTAATAAAAAAATATTATAGCCCCTGGCTCTGGAATGAGACAGACCTATGTCGACAACATCAACTGAATGTCTAGGATGTCTCCTCAGGGTGACATTGCAAGACGGTGAAGAGAAGTCATGATGCGATGCTAGGATATGTAACACCGACTCGAATGCCAGGTTGTGCTTGCTGGGACCTTCTCACTATCCAAAATCATTCCATAAACGTATTGCATTCATCAACCCCCCGGGGTCTTTGCTGGCTTGGTTGCTCAGAAAGAGGTTGGCACTGGCTTGAGATCAGGCCAGTCAGTCCTTTTCACTCCATAACGCAAGATTAATCAAACCCAGTCATTTGTACCCACGGGTGCAATCCAACCAAAAGCCGGTGTCTCCGAGTAGAGGTCGATGGTCAACTCATTCGAAACACCCTCAATGATCAGGGACAAATCCTAGCACCCACGATACTATCGGATCGGGACCTTGCATATTCAGAGTCACCTTGCTGCATAGTGTATAGTGTTTGACAATTTGACCCTGATAATCGCCACTTCATGGTAGTGCCGCCTGAGACCATGGATTTCATCAGGAGACATGCGAAAACAGTCAACTCAGGATCTTCCACAGTATGCCAATCCCCGAGCTTCTGGCCCTTTCCAGAGCCAGCATACCATACTATGCATGTTATCTTTGTCGGTTCCTATCGAGAATGCCCAGGATATTGCGGATATCTGAACATAATGTATATCTCCCATCCGCAGAGCATTTGTATCACACTCATCGTGATGATGCGATCAACTCTCCCGATTCGTCATTGATCGCTCTTTCCCGCTAGTCATATCATCAACGAGCAGAGCTGCATGGGTCATGGATCGTTATATTGTATCCCAAGTGACAGAAGAGGGGTACACTTCGACTGCCCTGATCCGTAATGAATCTTTTTCCCTGGATGGCGACATGTAGCCAGACCCCTCGACTCCCCAGTGGTGGAAACCTCAGCGAACGATCGCACAAGAGTGAAACCTACCTTCTGTCAAAGACGTACGTACATAAAAATGACCGCGCCTCGCCACGGAAGGGGCAAAAGAAAAAAAAAGGGGGGAAGGTTTTTCAACAAAGAAAAGCCCTCTGCAACATGTCGTACTTGAGCGACTCACCCTCGTGTTCACATTGTGCTTCGTAAACCGCGACCCAGAAGATTCTCAAGACGGGATAGGTCTGCTTGACAATGGCTGCACCTCGACCAGTGAGAGCAGATGAATTTAAGTGGGAGAGGGCGACAGGCGCGTTTCAGAGCCAATGCGCGGGCTTTCGGATGACTTGATGTGCGACGCTGTGTGATGCAGCTGCCCCTTTCCCCCGTCCATTGAGAGCTGCCTTGCCCGCCCCCGTCTCACCTTCTCGCCAGTCCGTCGCACGCCGTTAAATAGAGGGGACACGTTCCCGATCGGCCATTCGTGAGATTTCATTGCATTTTTTCAAATACTTCGCCACACTTAAATTTGCCCCGGTCTGTTTGCTGAGCTCGATAGCGTCTTGACCTGGTGTTCTATTATGGAAAAGAGCTTTGACATGGATGTCCCACCCTTCGGGTCTTTTGGGCTCCTCGTTGATTATTCAACTCAGTCATTCAGATTAATAGATTCCGTGGGGGCGAATCTTGTAGCGAGTGTTCATGTCAATGTGATAATCCCTCTGCTACAAATCAAGACCACGAGCGAATCAACGGACTGATATCAAATCATCAGTCCGTGTGTGTGTGCCTCCCTGTCGGATGAATCAGTCCAACGTAGGCTAATCGGTTGTTTCACAAACGGGAGCACCAGAAAGAGGGTTTTCTTTCCTGGCCCGGCTTATGTCTGGACCAGTAATCCAGTATACACAGGACGCCAGACAATCAGGACCAATCGAGCGTTGATCCACTTGGCGGGGGCGGTGATCCGATAATGTTCGGAAAGAATCCAGGGTGCTTGCATCGCAACAAACGGAGAGCACCCAGGATCAGACGAGATGAGAGATCATGATGATACCCCGTAGAAGCGATGCAATGGGATCGGTCAGTTGAATCTGTCCAGCGTCTGCTTGGTTTCATGTTGGACGGAGATTGGGATTGACTGGGTGGTTACTACTTTCGACCGGGCGCTCATTCGGCGGTGATGACTGCACCGATGAGTTGGAAAAAGAAAAGAATCGAAACGAACAGATGATTACTTGCTGACGACTAGCATTGGAGCTCTCCTGTAATCGACAGCTACCTACTTGTATGCACCCTGGATACTTGGTTTCTCGCGGCCTTGGAGACCGGGTGGAATGGCATCTCCTCACACGGTTGTCCCCTTATGGAGCATTTGATTGGAATACTGTCAAATGCAGGGTCGTTTTCTTCTTCGTTTGTTTCGTTATTTTATTTCCCCCTCCCTCCCAAGACCAACGGTAAGTTAGAAAAAAAAAATAAAAAAACAAGGACAGGAAAGAAACAAAAAGTTACAGAAAGAGCAAAGAAAAGGCAAGCGTGACGACACGCATGCAGCGGTGGTCCAGTAAGGATGGGAGAGGTATCAGCAAGGGCACAGCGAGGCTGGGAAAACCGTCTGGCATGAATGTACACAGCATCAATAGTGTGGGGAGGAAGGTGGTAGAGAGCATCATTCTGAGGTAGATTAAGTTTCCCCAAGCCAATTGTAATTATTCAGGAGGTGATTTGCCACCTTGTCAGCTGTCGACAGGCCTCCCACTAGGATGCCTACCTAACACTAACAGGCGCACCACGCAGGTAGGGCTGATGTGGTTGGTGGCTATGGGGGTTGGTTCCTCATTATTTAAGGAGGCGAAGTCACAGAGCGAGACGAAAATAAAGGGAACAGTAATAAGAGAAAAGTAAGACAGGCTGCTGAGACTGTGTTTGAAGTTCCACAACCGTCGTCAGTTTCGGGCGCCTGAGTGGCCCGCGAGGATTTATACTTCTAGGCACTGCGTTTCTCTGAATGGATTTGATTTGATTGCGACTGTTCTCTCCTTATTCGATCAGAATTCTCCCGATCCTCATCCGCCAAGAATTACCGCCCATCCAAGCGACAGAAGGATTAGGGGGTAGGGGGAATATATAGCTCCTGGGATGGCCCAGTTGCTGGCAGGTGGAGCAAGTATCCCTTGATTCCTCATTCTGGCTTTTTTGGTTGGTATAAAACCGAGAGGTGATTCAATCGGCAAGAGATCCAGCGACCAGAAGAGAGAGAGAGAGAGAGAGAGAGAGAGATAACGGGAAAGAGAAAGAGCAAGAGAGAGAAAGTCTCCTGATTCTTGATCCCATCGCAGGTAAATCCACTTTCCCTTTCCCATCCTTCCTTCCTAAAACAAGGCGAGAGCAACCGCCAGGCCAAACCAAACAAACCAAGCAAACCAAACAAACCCAGCAGAGCAATATGACTAAAAGCGGACTAGCTCCCCGGGCACGCGTTCCGTCACCTGTCGATCAGCGCCGAAGCCTTCCGTGGAAAATAAAATAAATCATCATCGGCATCATAATAGTCCTAAATTAATCCCATAATATTAACACGCCCTCCCCACACCCCTTTTTTGTCGCCATACTCCTCCCCCTCCTTCTTCACACTATCTTCACCTGGGAAAGGTCATCAATGCTCGGCTCAGTCCAATTTATGACGTGAAAGAAAGGAGATGCCGTGGACTGTAACTAATTCATTCAAGCGGTGCGTGTTGCCCCCGGTTCTTCCCTATCCCTTGAATCCCGCCACTCCAGGCTAACGTTCCAAATTTCTTCATTTTTCGTCTCGACAGAGGTCTTATGATGAAAACATACGGTCGACCGTCATGGCGTGTTTACGACGACGACGACCAGCGCCCGGCCGCCAAAAAAAGACGCGTCCAGCAGCCGTCAGGCAATGAGTCCGATGAGGCAGAGAATAGCCTGCAATACGCCATTCGCGAATCCTCAGCCGCTGTGTTGTCCAGCCCGTCGCGTCGCAACTCCATTCTGCTGTCGGAAGGCACGCAGGAAGACGATTTATCGACCCCACCGTCATCCCCTCCGCCTCGATTGTCGCCTCCCCCGGCGAACACGCGAAAACCAACTTTTTCGTTTCTCAAGCGCAAGCAGTCTTCTACCAAGGACTCCACCAATGGCACCCCGCTCACCGAGGTCAACTCGAACAGCGTCCGCCCGTCGACAGACCCCCCCAAGAAGAAGGCGGCCACGTCGCAGCCCACATCACAGCAGCAGCAGCTACCACAGCAGTCGCAGCCGCCGCCACCAACCGCATTAAAGCAAATGCAGATTGACCTAGGCCACGAAGTGAGGAGGACGTGTTCGACCTGCGGGATGGAATATGTTCCGTCGAATGCGGAGGATGCGTCGCTACATAAGAAGTTTCACGATATGAACTCGACGGGCGTCGATTTGGGCAAGGCTTTTATGCGAGCGAATGCATCGCGATGGGTTTATGAGGCTACTCGGTTCGAAGAAGGATACGTGGTTATCGTCGATCGGAAGGCATCTCCGACCGCGAAAAACCAAGCGAAGAAGGTACTCGAGGTGATTGGAAAGGAATTATCCTCCCCGGAGATTGAGGATGAAGTGCTATGGAGCCAGGTGGAAGCGCCCAAACACCTACGCACAAACGGCTCGTCGGAGAAAGTCGATCGCTACAAGGTGTTTTTGCATATGAAGGACAGTCGATGCGTCGGAGCGTGCTTGACGGAGCGAATTTGGGAGTCACGGCCAGTCGAGAAACCATCCGCCCAGCCACATGGGACCGACTCAGCCGTCACAGTCCGCGGGGAAACGCACCCGGCGATCGTGGGAATTTCTCGCATCTGGACATCCGGCTCGTCCCGACGCAAAGGAATCGCCATGGATCTCCTGGATTGCGTCGTGAGTAATTACATTTATGGCATGGAGATCCCCAAGGAACAGATGGCGTTTAGCCAGCCGACAGAGAGCGGCAAACTTTTGGCTCAGTCGTTCTTCGGGGATGGCGAGTGGCATGTGTATGAGGAGAACTAAACCGAGGACCACTGTCCAGTCTACCATACCTACAGAATCCATACAGGGACAAACGGTTGTTATTTTCTTAGGTTTCAATAATAAACGGGCGAGTTGATACCCTTCTTTCTCGGGCATTGGATGGCGGGGGAAGAATATTGTGATGACCATTTATTCGATTTCATTGTGTACCACCCAGAGGTGTTTTCTTTTTCCTTTGTTTTTTCTTATTTTTTTTTTTGGGGGGGACGGGGTTTTGCATTTATTTTATGCCTCTGATTGTCTTTTTGGGTTTTCTTTTTGGCTGATTCGTTCTCTTGTTGTTGCCTTCGCTGTATCATATATACCTTTTTCCTACTTCCCCTTTTTTCCCCAGCTGTCGTTGCCTAACTAACCATCGACCACTCGCATGTTGTCATTTTCCGCGATTGATTGTTTTCTTATACAAAAAAGAATGGAAATACGGGGGAGAATGTAAACGGACACACAGAAATCCCTGAGTTATAGCTTATCGGAGTAAAATGGTAGAGCAGTAGCTAAGAAGAGACCTGCTTAGTTGCCCGGAAGCCGGATGGTCAGCGGCTGTCAAACACCCTTTCATCCCGCCGACGTGGGCGACTCTTTTCCCTTTCAACCTCCTCGCCCCCTCAATCGTCCCTTGCTCTCATGGTCAGTGCCCTCCGTCTTCACTGCGATGTCTGGATCAAATCCTTTCCGCCCTAAGAAGTCAGAGGGTGAGTTGGACCCGTCATTGCCGGATTCTTCGAGTATCGACTCTTTGGCCGAAGTTGCAAGGCTGACCGTCGCAGATCCCACAGGGCACCCTCCATCATCATCCCATTCGACCGCTGGGAGCTCGTACTTTCCCGTACCTCCTGTGTACACCGTCCCCGATACCTCCGTCAATCCGAATGGCATCCCCAACCTCCCTTGTTCAAACTTCACGCCGAGCAACGACGATTCGTTGTCCTCGGACGATCAGTCCCTCTCCGATCCCTTCCATCAACACTCGGACCTGAGTGATGATGATGGACCACGACGGAAACCAACGTCGATTCCTACGTCAAACCCTTCAAATATCCCCCGAGAGCCCCTAGACGAAGAATTCCGTCGAGCCCGGCAACCAGGTCTCCCCTCCCCTCCCATTTCTGCGACAGCCTTCGGATCATCTGCTGGACCATCGGCGAGGACGAGAACCCACGACCAATTTCCAGGACAGGAAAACGCCAGGCCGCTTGGCGGGAACGCGCCCGTGGCCAGCTCAAATGCATCTATCCGGTCATTGACCCCTCATGGCGGGACCCGTACTACTAACAGTAGCGTTACGGACGTATCCCAAACGCCGGCGCATCCGGGCATTGCAAACCTCCCGGGGGTCGGACGAGATTCCAAGCCTCTTGCTAGCCGCCCAAGTAACCGGGACAGGGTCCCTCCGCCTCCACCGAAAAGTCACCATGGGAAATTGATCAGTCCCACCCCTGGCACGGCATCTCCCCTAGCTCAACCCGCACCGGTCAGACCGACCAACCGCTATTCCTTCCATGGCTCCCCTTCAGAGGCCTCACTTTCGCCTCGACCCTCCCAATCCCAGGGGGACTATTTCGCCGGCCTGGGAGAGAGGCAAGCATCAGACAGATCACCCGAGACCCTGCGCCGGAGTCAATCCCAACACAAACGACCCCCAACGCCACCGCTCGCGCGGCGGCACAGTCAGATGAGGCGATCAAAAACGACGCACTCCAAAGCTAATATGTCACGGTTATCGATGCCGCCTATCAAAGTGGATGTTACCGCCGAATCTCCCCCTCCGAGTCCAGGCTCCTGGTCATTAAATCCGTCTCGAACTCGGGATGCGCGGGTCGACACCTCGTCCTCCGACGAGAACTCTTCCCGGCCTCCTCCTCTTTCTATCCGAACGTTGGTGTCGAAATCGTCAACATCGGTGGCAGACACCTCAGCCTCTACGTCGCCTTCCAACTCTAAAGCGTCGTTTAATAAAAGGGCATCGCAACAGAACCCTCTGCCCCCTCCTCCACCTCCACGGCGCACGCGGGGGTCCAGTAATCACAGCAGCGATGACACTCGTTCTGTAAGCTTTCGCTCGGAGAAACCGACGGATGAGAAAACCACGTTTGCACCGGAGCCGTCTAATGCACGAGACATTCTGGCCGACTTGACGCGCCTGCAGAAAGAGGTGGACGACCTCCGCGGCCACTATGAAAACCGCAAGGCCAGCCACTAATGGAAAGCTGCATGAGCCGGCTTGTCTGGCGAAGCAAGGGGGAGAGGGAGTTAGCCATATGATAACGTGAGTGGGGAACGACCACTGTCAGAAAGGGGGATGGATTATGTTCTTTATAGCATTGTACGTCATGGATAGGATTATGCACGATTTACGATTACTACGCCGTTGGTATTGGATGGACATAAAGCCGCCGTAGTTTACATTCATATAGCTATTCTCTATATCTCTATACCTCTACGAAGTACCTATGCCTACACTGTACTCAGGAGTATACCTACCTTTTACACCAGGTCGGATTGGTTGCCGCCCGTGACCCGTGACGTCAGCCGATCCCGTCCCCAAGCGGCTTTTTTCCCTTCTTCTTCTTTTCCTCTTGAGAATCTGTAGATCCTCTTCCAAAGAATGTCTCGATCGAACTTTTCTTTGAGATTCAAAAATCAAGAACTACCAGAGCGGGAAGACGAGAGCGACCTTCTGGGTCTTCTACGCAGCGTCTAGATCGTCTCGGGTGACGTCGCTTTGCAGCCTCACTTTGTCTCGTTGGTCTCTAATCTTCATCCTCGACTTTGGTTCCAGGATTCCATTCTCCCCCTTCGAATCTTATTGAAACCAAACCTTAATCACTGCCGTGGAGAGTGTCTTGGGGGCCCTTTTTTCGCCATCTCGCGGCCGAACTGCCTTTTTTTGATCACTTGCACATTTCCCCCCCAATTCATATAGGATTGCTCCTTGTCCTTGACCTGCAGCTTGATTGACCACGCGGAATCTTTCTTTATCATCCAGCTCTTTCGGGAGATTGCCGTGGCTTCTATCTCAGTCAATCCCAGCTCATACGTCCTCTCTCTTATCTTATTACCCTTCGTCCTTGCACCCCTCCCCACTTATTTACCATCGATCACCGTTTCTCCTCTTCTCACTCACCTCTCTTCTCACCGTGAACCCGAAACATTTACATACAATCGAACAATAGCATTAATTATGACCACCCCAACTTTGATCAACCTGCCTCCTCCACCATCTGATCCGGTGACTCCCTCGGATATGGGCCCGTAAGGTTGACCCTTTTTTTCGCGTCTTCTGCTTATTCTCCTCGTCTTGAAATGATCCGCTTGGACAAAACCCACTAACCGTAGTCTACCTTCCGTCGCAGAGGGACCCCGAATTCTGGAACAACCTCCCTCTCCGCTCTGTCCACCACCGCGATCAAGGACGGCCATCAAGGCCAGCCTTTCCCTCACGGTCGTCATGCTCACCATTCACCTTCCACGTCGATGACTTCCACCACCACTCTAGAAGCAGAGCGCGCCGATCGCATTTCGCGCCTGGCGGGGTTAGAACGGGTGGCCACTGCCCGGGCGGGGGGTGGCACTGCTACTTCCCAACCGACGACTATGCCCCCAACTATGCAAAATCCAGGCTACTTCGACAGCAGTATGGGACTGAAGGAGAGAAGCACGGTGGGTAGCGCGAGCGCCACGGGCAGCGTGGGAGCCCGCACGACCTGGGCCAGTAGCAGCGATGCGCCCGACGTCGATAAGATGAGCGAAGACCCAGACGACGGCACTTCCAGCGTAGGAAATATCAGCGAGGGAGATGCCAGTTTGGTCGGTTTTGGAGAAGGTGCCAGCACCATCAGCGGCCCGATCTCACATTCCGGGCTAAACCGCACTGCCTCTGGAGGAGGCCGACCCAACTCCTTGGGCAGTCCCACGGGCCGATCGAACCCTATCGCGCCGTTCTCTCATATGTCGAATGACAGCACTAGGCTGCATTCTACAATGTCACCTACTGGATCGATCACCCCCGAGCCGGCACAAGATGCTCGGATGGTTGACGGCATGACCTATGATCCGGACGTGGTCGATACAACGGTGAGAACTCCACGGCTGGCGACGCCGGCGGATCCAGATGTGCCTGGCAATCCGGCCAGCGAGCAACGTTTGGGCTGATCGACCGGGTGGTTCACGAGATTCCCGTGAAAATGGCATAACAATGCAGGGGAAGAGACGGGAAAGAAAAAACAATAAAGAAAAAAAAATATGGAGAAGAAGATGAAAAGGTGAAATAGGCGTTTGCTTCAATGACTTCAGGAAATTGTAATTGTATGGGAAGGCCAGGGTCGGACACAGAGCTTGGGGATCTCATCTTAGGCTAGGTTGATCTCATGAAATTTGTAGGATAGTAGGGAGTATCTTTATTCCTCATGGGATTATGCATTTGTTAGTATACGCTTGTTTGAATTGAATTGATGCTCCGAAGAGTCTTTATAGTATAGCGTAGTATCCTATGTATGAACAGTGGACAATGGGTAAGAGTTTGCGCGGAGCAAGAATATTCGACTGTTCCGAACCGGCAGAGAAATTGAAGTGCTTCTGGTTGTCATGCCCTCGTGGCAGTTTCTACAGTCCTTCCTAATCCTCCCTGTTGTTTAACCCCTAACAACACCCTCCTTCACCACCCTCCTCCTCCTCCTTCACACCCACAACTCTTCGCCTCTACTCTTCTATGTCTTATCTTTTTACTAGCATCGACAGCTATACCGCGAGAAGAGCTTACAGACGGGTGACGTCGCATACTTGCCTAGAAACAATATCCATCGATCTCAAGTCACTAAACAACCGAGAACTCACTCATTCACCCTGGCGCCGTGGCTCTTCAATTCAAATAGATGAAGCCGATAGGTCTAGCAGTTTTTGATTAACTCAAAACTAAAATATCGGAACAGAAAGAGGTAATCAACAGATAAGCAAGCATACCAAGCTGAGTGCATCAACACTCAAGGTGAATATTACTTTCTATTCACTCCCGGCCTGGTATTTTCTGAATCTAACTTCTCTAGCAATTTTCAGGGCTGTCTGACGGTGGACGTCATGACACAGGGCGGGGCAGCGGATTATCTGACTGAAGAGGCCTGATACAAAGGATGGGTAGGGGGAAGCTTTGCTTTATGGAGTATCGGTCCATTGGAACATAACAATGGACGCTGATACTCGCAAGAGGACTCGAGGCCTAGAGTGTGGAAATTCCTGCGATCCACTGCCATCGAACTCGACAGAGAGTTATTTATCGGTGAGCCTGAATGTTAAAGTGAGGAGATAGGCACAGATGAGATGAGTCGATGATAAAATGACTAACTACCTACAGACGTGTCGAGCAAGTTGCAACATCTCCTCACTTTACTACCCAGGAGCCTCGCCGCATTGAGTAGATTGACCCTGTCCGGAGTTACTTTATTCTTACCAAGACGATTCTCTTGGAAGGAAAAAGGAGATATAATTCTTGATGCTGGAGAATCTTCAGCCTAGGACTGGGGCGGGCCCCCGATGCTTTGGCGAAAATCATGCTCGGATTGAGGAACCCTTGTGAGTTTAAGTTTGACCTGTTATCCTATTTCGAGATTTATCAAGGAGGTTCACTATTATGATGAAGGCTGCGGTTCTACTATATTGGTGCATCTGTTCCTCTATATGCGGGCCTGCGTAGCCACTACGCTGCTTTATGTCGTGGGTAGATTATGTTAGACCGCACAGGATCACTGCAAGAGAAAACACTCATTATGACACCCTACTGACAGAAGCTTCTTTACAGATAGACCTCGTCCGAAGACTGTGCGAACTTCGCTCAAAATAGAATTACAGGTTCATCAACTCGAGGAAAGCATCAAATATCGGAGCGGGCCAAACGAGCATTTTTCAAGGGACGTGAGAGCACAAACCAGCTCAGAAGGGATTTCTATGAACTTTGGAGCAGCCTAGACAAGTAATCTCGAAGGGAAATTCGGGCTCAGGCACAACCCGGCTCAAACCAGAATATCAGATTTGCTCGCTTGATGGGGACAGAATAGCATCTTCAACATATGGCGACCTAAACAAAATGTGAATTCTTAGAGATTTGGAGAAGGGCCTGAAACCGACAGGCAGCCCAGAGTCAAATGAAGTTTAAGGGTGCACGGAGGCTGATAGATAGTATGAGCTAAAGCAGGATCAGATCTTCCCACTCGTTTCAATAAGGACCTCTCATGTGTCTCTGCTTTATAATCAGCTTATTTTTATTCTAACGTATCCGGTAAGCGGGCGCCGCACGCAAGCGAGCGCCGCAGCTCCGTATCCCATACTAATTCACCTTTTTTTG